TACTGAAGACTCCTTGTATCCCTGGGATAAATCCCAGTTGATCATGGTGTATGATCCTTTTAATGTTTTGTTGGATTCTGTTTGCTGGTACTTTGTTGAGGATTTTTGCATCTACATTCGTAAGTGATATTGGTCTGTAATTTTCTTTTTTTGTAGTATCTTTGTCTGGTTTTGGTATCAGGGTGATGGTGGCCTCATAGAATGAGTTTGGGAATATTCCTTCCTCTGCACTTTTTTGGAAGAGTTTGAGAAGGATGGGTGTTAGCTCTTCTCTAAATGTTTGATAAAATTCACCTGTGAAGCCGTCTAGTCCTGCACTTTTGTTTGTTGGAAGATTTTTAATCACGGTTTCAATTTCATTACTTGTGATTGGTCTGTTCATATTTTCTATTTCTTTCCGGTTCAGTCTTGGAAGGTTATACCTTTCTAAGAATTTGTCCATTTCTTCCAGGTTGTCCATCTTATTGGCATAGAGTTGCTTGTAGTAGTCTCTTAGGATGCTTTGTATTTCTGCAGTGTCTGTTGTAACTTCTCCTTTTTCATTTCCAATATTCTTGATTTGAGGCCTCTCCCTCTTTTCCTTGATGAGTCTGGCTAATGGGTTATCAAGTTTGTTTATCTTCTCAAAGAACCAGCTTTTAGTTTTATTGATCTTTGCTATTGTGTTCTTTGTTTCTATTTCATTTATTTCTGATCTGATCTTTATGATTTCTTTCCTTCTACTAACTTTGTGTTTTGTTTGTTCTTCTTTCTCTAGTTCCTTTAGGTGTAAGGTTAGATTGTTTATTTGAGATTTTTCTTGTTTCTTCAGGTAGGATTGTAGTGCTAGAAACTTCCCTCTTAGAACTGCTTTTGCTGCATCCCATAGGTTTTGGATTGTCTTGTGTTCATTGTCATTTGTCTCAAGTTATTTTTTCATTTCCTCTTTGATTTCTTCAGTGATCTCTTGGTTATTAAGTAACGTATAAAATAACCTCCATGTGTCTGTGTTATTTTACATTTTTTTCCCTGTAACTGATTTCTAATCTAATAGCATTGTGGTCAGAAAAGATGCTTGATATGATTTCAATATTCTTAAATTTACTAAGTCTTGATTTGTGACCCAAGATGCGATCTATCCTGGAGAATGTTCCATGTGCACTTGAGAAGAAAGTGTAATCGGCTGTTTTTGGATGGAATGTCCTATAAACATCAATTAAATCTATCTTGTCTATTGTGTCATTTAAAGCTTGTGTTTCCTTATTAATTTTCTGTTTGGATGATCTGTCCATTGTTGTAAGTGAGGTGTTATAGTCCCTCACTATTATTGTGTTACTTTCGACTTCCTCTTTATAGCTGTTAGCAGTTGCCTTATGTGTTGAGGTGCTCCTATGTTGGGTGTATATATATTTATAATTGTTATATCTTCTTTTTGGATTGATCCCTTTATCATTATGTGTGTCCTCCCTTGTCTCTTGTAACATTCTTTATGTTAAAGTCTACTTTATCTGATATGAGTACTGCTACACCAGATTTATTTTGATTTGTATTTGCATGGAATATCTTTTTCCATCCCCTCACTTTCAGTCTGTATGTGTCCCTGGGTCTGAAGTGGGTCTGTTGTAGACAGCATATATGTGGGTCTTGTTTTTGTATCCATTCAACGAGTTGTGTCTTTTGTTTGGAGCATTTAATCCATTCACGTTGAAGGTAATTATCGATATGTATGCTCCTATTACCATTTTCTTAATTGTTATGGGTTTGTTTTTGTAGGTCCTTTCTTCTCTTGTGTTTCCCAGTTAGAGAAGTTCCTTTAGCATTTGTTGTAGAGCTGGTTTGTTGGTGCTGAATTCTCTTTGCTTTTGCTTGTGTGTAAAGATTTTGATTTCTCCATCAACTCTGAAAGAGATACTTGTTGGGTAGAGTAATATTGGTTGTACGTTTTTCCCTTTCATCACTTTAAATATATCATGCCACTCCCTTGTGGCTTGTAGAGCTTCTGCTGAGAAATCCGCTATTAACCTTATGGGCATTCTCTAGTATGATATTTGTCGTTTTCCCTTGTTGCTATCAATAATTTTTATTTTTCTTTAATTTTTGTCAGTTTGATTACTGTGTGTCTCACTGTGTTTCTCCTTGGGTTTATCCTGCCTGGGACTCTCTGTGTTTCCTGGACTTGGGTAACTATTTCCTTTCCCATGTTAGGGAAGTTTTTGACTATAATCACTTCAAATATTTTCTCTGGTCCTTTCTCTCTCTATTCTCCTTCTGGACCCCTGTAATGCGAATGTTGTTGCATTTAATGGTTTCCCAGGGGTCTCTTAGGCTGTCTTCATTTCTTTTCAGTCTTTTTTCTTTATTCTGTTCTGCAGCAGTGAATTCCACCATTCTGTCTTCCAGGTCACTTATCCGTTCTTCTGCCTCAGTTATTCTGCTATTGATTCCTTCTAGTGTAGTTTTCATTTCAGTTACTGTATTGTTCATCTCTGTTTGTTTGTTCTTTAATTCTTCTAGGTCTTTGTTAAACATTTCTTTCTTTTTTTTTTTTTGCGGTACGTGGGCCTCTCACTGCTGTGGCCTCTCCCGTTGCGGAGCACAGGCTCCGGACGCGCAGGCTCAGCGGCCATGGCTCACGGGCCCAGCTGCTCCACGTTATGTGGGATCTTCCCAGACCGGGGCACGAACCCATGTCCCCTGCATCGGCAGGCGGACTGTTAACCACTGCGCCACCAGGGAAGCCCTGTTAAACATTTCTTGCATCTTCTCGACCTTTGCCTCCATTCTTTTTCTGAGGCCCTGGATCATCTTCACTATCATTATTCTGAATTCTTTTTCTGGAAGATTGCCTATCTCCATTTCATTTAGTTGTTGTTCTGGGGTTTTATCTTGTTCCTTCATCTGGTACCTAGCCCTCTGCCTTTTCATCTTGTCTATCATTCTGTGAATGTGGTTTTTGTTCTACAGGCTGCAGAATTGTAGTTCTTCTTAATTCTGCTGTCTGCCCTCTGGATGATGAGGCTACCTAAGAGGCTTGTGCAAGCTTCCTGATGGGAGGGACTGGCGGTAGGTAGAGCTGGGTGTTGCTCTGGTGGCAGAGTTCAGTAAAACTTTAATCTGCATGTCTGCTGATGGGTGGGGCTGAGTTCCCTCCGTGTTGGTTGTTTGGCCTGAGGCAACCCAACACTGGAGCCTCCCCGGGCTCTTTGGTGGTGGTAATAGCAGACTCTGGGAGGGCTCACGCCAAGGCGTACTTCCCAGAACTTCTGCTGCCAGTGTCCTTGTCCTCGTGGTGAGCCACAGCCACCCCCCACCTCTGCAGTAGACCCTCCAACACTAGCAGGTAGGTCTGGTTTAGTCTCCTGTGGGGTCACTGCTCCTTACCCTGGGTCCTGATGTGCACACTACTTTGTGTGTGTCCTCCAAGAGTGGAGTCTGTGTTTTCACCAGTCCTCTCGAAGTCCTGAAATCAAATCCTGCTATCCTTCAAAGTCTGATTCTCTCGGAATTCCTCCTCCCGTTGCTGGACCCCCAGGTTGGGAGGCCTGACGTGGGTCTCAGAACCTTCACTCCAGTGGGTGGACTTCTGTGGTATGTGTTCTCCAGTTTGTGAGTCACCCGTCTAGCCGTTATGGGATTTGACTTTATTGTGCTTGCACCCCTCCTACCATCTCATTGTGGCTTCTCCTTTGTCTTTGGATGTGGGGCATCTTTTTTGGTGAGTTTCAGTGTCTTCCTGTCGATGATTGTTTAGCAGTTAGTTGTGATTCCAGTGCCCTCGCAAGAGGGAGAGCACATCCTTGTCCTCCGCCATCTTGAACCAATCTCAGCCTCTAACTTTTTTTCATTTGTTTCAGGTTTGTTCAAATATGTTTGTAATTGCTCATTTTAATCAATGCTTCTTTAAAATCTGTGTCAGGTAATTTTTACATCTCTGTCATCTTGTGATGTTGATATCTATTGCTTGTCTTTTTTCATTATATTTGAGATCTTTCTGATTCTTGGTATGCTGTTTGATTTGGGGTTGAAACCTGGATATTTTTGTGTAATGTTTTGAGACTTGGATTGAAGCATGGATATATTTGTATGATGTTCTGAGACTTGGATCTCATTAAACTCCATATTTTATGTGACTTTCTGTGACAATGCACTGGCAGAGGATGAGGGGGTGTCATCTTGTTATTTCTGGGTGGAACTAGAAATCCAGGTTCCCTACTAGGCCTTCAGTTGACAATTAAGTGAGAACTTTTATTATTTCTGGGTGAGGCGGTGGAAGTTCCAACTGCCCACATGGTCTCTACCAAACACTCTGGTAGGGATGGTGTCATTACTGCAGGGTGATGGTGAAAGTTCTGACTCTCCACTAGGCCTCCTCTGAGAAGGCAGTGTGCTTTGTTACTAGGGATGGAACATGGTCTCCACTGATGCCATGGTTCGTCTCATTACTGGCTGACAGGGTTACAATTCTTGGCTCTCTACTTGACCTTTGTTGGCACCACCCTGGCAGAGGTGTTGGGTACCTGATTTCTGCCTCAAGAGAGTGGAAATCTAGGCTCCCCACTTAGCCTTTGCTGACATGTTTCGGGATGGAATCACAGTTTTTCCTGTGGTGCTTGGCTGGAATAGAGTGGTTGTTCTCTAAAAGTTTTTGTCTTTCTGGGCTTCTCCTCTTTTGGTACTTTAGCTAGAGTGAGCAGGCTTTTGAGGGGAATTGTTTTGTCTGCATCCATTGGTATTTCCAGGTTGCTGGTATCTCCACCTCCAAGACTGGCATATATGAGGCAAAAAGAAAACCCTCTTCACTCACCATTCTGTTGTTACTCAGGCCCTGAGTGCCCTTGCATTTTTAAAAAATTTTCTCCATTTTTCAGACTCTTCTTATTGTTTGTTTTATAATATCCTGTTTAGTTGTACTTATTGGGAGGAATAGGAAAATTATGTCTATTCTATCTTTCTGGAGACAGAGGTCATGTACATCATTTTTGAGCTTTATTTTCAATGGGCCTCGTGTGATTCTTCTTCAGGTACCTGGAACTGGAAAGCAGCGGCCATCGGAATGAAGTCAGACTGCACTACCACTCCTCCGGCAGCCACCATCCTCACACAGAAGTGTTTCCTTACATTTTGGCTGATGATAAGTGGCACAAGCTCTCCTTAGCCATCAGTGCCTCCCACTTGATTTTACACGTCGACTGCAATAAGTAAGTGAAATGTTCTCAGTTCAGGTAACGGAAGATTCTAAGAAATGATGGTTAATGCACATTACTTACCTGATGCTTCTTTGCAGAATATATGAAAGAGTTGTGGAAAAGCCTTCCACAGACTTGCCTGTGGGCACATCATTTTGGCTGGGACAGAGAAATAATGCACACGGATATTTTAAGGTATCTTCTGACTAAGGTCTGAGCATAAAGTGTAAATATAAATGCTTTTTAATGAATTTGGAAAAGTACGTCTTGCTTTTTATGGTATAAAGCAAAATAATTTGATGTGTATAGTTTCTGTTTTAGTTTTTTTTTTTTTTTTTTTTACACTGGTGTTTAACTTAGCTGGTCAGCACTATTTTCTCTTTTTTTCCCGAATGAGTTTGAACTTTAAACATAACAGAGATGATCACAAGGCTCAATCAGGGCAGAGTTAACATCTTGAAATCAGGCATTCAAAATAATAAAAATCTAAAATGTTAATATACAAATAAACTCTCTACCTTTGAAATATAACCTTTGATGAGACTTTTATTGGGGTGTTAATAATAGAGGATTAAAACTTTTCAATATTCATTATTCATGGTCTCTTCGTACTTCTGAAAGTGAGAAAGGGATACATATATATGCACAAATCTATCAAAGCTAGAAAGCAGTTATAATTTATATCTTTTTCTTATTGTCTGTTTAGAGACACACTCCATGGAATTGCATCACAGGATCTAAAAGACATACCGTTTAACTTCAGTATTTTAAGGTCGAGGAAATAAAGTTCAGAAAATTGCTTGATTACAAGCCCATAGTGTAATCATTTCCCCTCCAATGACTCTGACACTGCCTGTCATACAGAAGGGGATCGGCAAATGGTTGTTAAATGAAACAATGACAGGTGATGTGTCTAACTCACGGATTTCTAGCTAGAGTAGGTACCAGTAACTTTAAAATTGTGTTCTGAGAAAGGTTTGTATTCCAAGAAAGGTATTTTTAAAACTTACTTAAACTGCTACCTGGAAACCAGGTGCTTTGAATGTGTTATTTCATCGAATCCTAGTCTTGCTAGCCTTGGTGCAGGGCCTTTTAAATTTTTTAAAAATCTCTTTTACATATGCATAAACTTGTTCAGAGAGTTTAAACAACTTATCCAAAGCCAGTCATGGGGAATTGATCCCATGCTTGTGAGTCCTGAAAAATCAGTGCTCTTTTCCCACATAAGGGATAGCAAGTTTTTGCTATAGGTGCCGAGTCTCTCTTCTATTTAATCATGGCACTCTTCCCCATGGAGCTCAGATGTGGCGTCAGAAACCTCACATGTCAGTTATGTGTACTACTCTAGGGGCCATAATTTTTACTGTAGACTGTAAATGGTGCTCACTAGATTTGGGCAGTACACAAACTATAGAACTCTATATGGTAGCTTTGCTTTCATGTTGCTGCTACCAAGTGATAGGATTTTGTTGTATACAAGTTGCTTCCCTGATCCAAACCCCAAGCCAACAGCAGATCCAGCAATTGCCACATAGTATATTTAAATATTTATCATTTACACTGACACTGTTTTTGTACCATGCTATTAATCAGATTAAATATGTAGAAGATACATAGTCCAGGATTTGACTGGTAAATCTTTGTAGGTACATTCAAAATTGTCTTAATAATATGTTGGTATGTCACCTCTGTCATTAAATGTTCTATTTCCATTTTTCAAAAGGGATAAAGTGAAATATTACTTAAAGAAAATATATAAAGATGTTGAAGGAAGAGAGAGGGGTGGTGAATGAAAGGGACGCTGGAGGGTGTCTGATGAGGTCCTTTGTGAGCTACCATTTGGCCATTGCTTTAAGAGCCTTGTAAGCTGGAAGCTAATTATATCTTAATGACAAAGGGTGCATGTAAATTTCACATGTAAACATGTGATGTGACGTTCTGTGTAAAATGGGTCATTTCCAGTTGGCATTTTAAAAAATTTTAGGCTAAACTTTCTGTACTCCTAAGGACTCATCACTAAGTCTTGCTGTAGCTGTTTAATAAATCTCTTGTCCTTTTTAAATTGAGAAATTCACTTTAAAATATCCAACCGAGAAACAAGAAATGCTAGAATAAGCATTGCTCTTATGACTTAGCTTTTCTCTTGTTTTCTTTTTGATGATAGCAGTTAACTTAAAACGGGTATCAGTTTCACTGTTGTTGAAACCCAAAGTGATCTTCAGGTTGATTTTTAAAGGTCATTTTCAAGCCTTTCTTCAGTGGCTAACTAAAAATAACTTCCCCAGACACAAACTGTTGCCTCTTAATTATATCTTGACATTTACTCTTAAGACTTTAAAAATATTATCAATAAGAAAGTACGTGGGTAATCATCTATTTTGCCTGCCTGATGTTTTTCTTTCCCTTTGGTTTGAAGTCAAAGCAATGTATTCAAAAAGATTTTATTCAGGGATTTTGGTGAGTCTATCCTGTAATGTTTCCCTTCATGAACTTGACTGTTGAACATAATTTGGGTAGATGAAAGTAATATGTCTTTTTCAAAATTTTTCTCACACAGGGTATAATGCAAGACGTGCAATTACTTGTCATGCCCCAAGGATTTATTGCTCAGTGCCCAGATCTTAATCGCAGTAAGTCCATTAGTTCTTGCACCGTGTAATGAAAAGTATGCTTCTTGCTTAGTTTTGTCCAAAATGTCAGTTTGAAATTAGAGTTTTTATATATTAGTTGTCAGCATAGACTTAACCAGATTGAACTCCTTATAAATATAACTTGACCAACGTGGTGTTTGTAATTCTAGCCTGTCCAACTTGCAATGACTTTCATGGACTCGTGCAGAAAATCATGGAGCTGCAGGACATTTTAGCCAAAACATCAGCCAAGGTAAAAGCTCCTTAGAAATAGAGTCTGGGGGAGCTCAAAAATCCTTGAGGTTCCTTACAATTCCTTTTATAACCACAGTTGTTCACCTTTGAGACTTTTCTTATACCCTACTGTGTACCAGGACTGAACCGAAATCCCTGCTCAAGAAAGGGGCTTATAAATATTCAAACCCTAGCCATCTGTATAACAAATGATTCAGTAAATCAAGAATGAGGCAGATTACTACACTGCTTATTACGACAATAGGATTTATTGTTTAATTTAGTTTTTATTATTTAGTTTTTCTTTGCAAGGAAGGAGGCAAGAGGACATTGTAAAGAATATGAGCACTAGAATTATGTCAAGGAAATGGTCCCATGAAATCTTTCTACCACTATGTTACAGTTGTAGGAATATTGGCTATCTTAAGCCTGTATCAAGTTTACCTATAGTTTCACCAGGCTGTTGTCTTGTTGCATAGCAGTTACTTATGACCTGGAAGTTGTGTTGTATATCAATGATTTGTTTCTGACCCAATATATATTCTAAAATTTATGTTTGCACTCGAGCAAACATAGTCATGAAATTAGACATTTTTAAAAATGGAAAATGCTTCTCTGCATTGTGGATGATGCTATTTTGACTTAGCTTTCTTTTCCATCATATAAATCCTGCTTTTTTCCCCCAAAGGCAGGGGGCAAGTTTACTACGAAAAGAAGAGGGGAAAAAATCCTTTCTTTTAAATTAAAGTCTTAAGTCATTTGCAGCAACATGGGCGGACCTAGAGATTATCATACTAATTAAGTAAGTCAGAAAGAGAAAGACAGTTACCATACGATATCACTTATATGTAGAATCTAAAATATGACACAAATGAACTTACCTATGAAACAGAAAAAGACTCACACACGTAGAGAACAGACTTGTGGTTGCTAAGGGAGAGGTGGGTGAGCGAGGGATGGATTGGGAGTTTGGGATTAGCAGATGCAAACCATTATATAGAGAGTGGATAAACAATAAGGGCCTACCATATAGCACAGGGAACTATATTCAATATCCTGTAATAAATCACAATGGAAAAGAATAAAATGAAAAAAATAAAGGCTTATGTATATTTATAATAAATAGTTGATGGGCACAGCCATCATTACAGCTATTCATCTGAAAAACAGTCAGATGCCTGTTGGAGTATTTTGCCTTTCTGCATTGCTGGAATGGTGAACAATATGAACCCCTTCCTTTGTGCCACAGCTGTCTCGAGCCGAACAGCGAATGAATAGATTGGACCAGTGCTATTGTGAAAGGACTTGCACCATGAAGGGAACCACCTACCGAGAACTCGAGTCGTGGACAGACGGCTGTAAGAACTGCACATGCCTGGTATGGCTTTTGCTGGAGTTCAGACTAAGGGAACTCAGATGTCCCCACCCTTTAAAAATTTATTAAAACAATGTCATCATGAAAATTTCGAGACCCATTTCCTCAAAACACAACACTAAAGTGGCAGCAAACCTGGTCAAATCTAAAGGACTGTGTGTTGCCTTATTAAAGACACTTTCTAGCCTATAAAGATGATTACGGTTTAAGAATGCTATAAAGTTTTAAGTTTACTGGTCCACACATGAAGTTAACAATTTAAATTGGGTCAGTAGAGGGATTCCCAAAGGATTCTATCCTGTTATCCTTAACTTTTCCAGGGATTTTCCCCTCATGTTTTATTAATGCATTTTGATAAAACTAAATTAAGTGCAACAGGAAATACTGTGTCCAGATTGGGCTGTACAAACAAACAATGGAGTTTAAATAATATTTAAAAGTTTACTAATACAGCAGAATACAAATTATAGAGTATAAATAAGTTTGAGTTCTCTAATTGCTCACTAATTAAGTAGAATATTTAATGCATTATTATTTCAAACATGTAAGTTCATTTTCAAAGACAAGTTCAAAAGGAGTTTAGTTTTGAACTTTTAAATTCCATATGAATTACCTGTTAAAACTGGTTGACTGGAAAGAAGTCAGAGGTCTAAAAAATTTTTTTCCCAAGTTCATCCAGTTTATTCAAAAGTGGGAGATCATGATGTAAGAAGGTCAAAGTTAGCTGTGAAATAACTGTACATGTGTGTATGTGTGTGCCTGCTTTGTATGATTTCTATTCAAGAACATATATTCCTATTAAAGTCATAGCATTTTACAAATACAGTAAAACCTTCCCAACTTGTTAAATGGGTGCCAAAAATCAAATTGAGTAAAATACAAGATGTGGTATGTGAAGTCAATAAAACGACTAGAAAAGCAGCTAACCTACCTGGGAGCTCTGGGTGACCTTCGGGAATCAAATTCCTTGAGGTCCCCTTTGCCGTTTGGCACCTCTTGTGATGATTGTCAGCATCAATTCACGGTGGTGGCCTGTCCAAGCTTAAATATCCTTGGGAAGATTTCTGCATCCTGAGACTGGGTCTCCAGCACAGCAGCAGCTATTCCAAAAATCTCCTCGTTTGTTGATGCTCATTTTGTGAGTCATCTGGGGAGACACGAGTGCCCCAGGCTGACCCTCAGCCTGCTGTTTCCCTGTCAGCAGGTGCCCTTCCCTCCACACCTGTCCTCATCCACTTCACAACAGGAGGTGAGAACTCTAGCTCAGTTGCTGGACAGAAGGTGAAGCCAATCACCATCTGTGTTATGACCCAATTTATATTACTGTGGGTTTTACTGTATTATGGGTTTTGCTGTATAATAACCAAAGAGAATAGTGGTATTTATGACATATTACATGAAGAGTTTGAAATTTAAGAAATATATTAAACAATACTTGAAAGCTACCAAGCTGCAACTTGGAAATTCTTTAAAATACTGTTTTCTTCTCAGAATGGAACCATCCAGTGTGAAACTCTGATTTGCCCAAATCCTGACTGCCCCCTCAAGTCGGCTCTTGCATACGTGGATGGCAAGTGCTGTAAGGAATGCAAACGTGAGCATAACTTTTATGATGAATACTTTTTTGGCAAAAATAAAGCTTTGTATTAATAAATATTCACCCATCATTGGTTTAATCTGGGTAAGCTAAATAGCTTTTAGAAATGATGGAAATACCTTCTCTATTTTGGTTGAGCAGTTCTTTTCCACTTAAAAGTGCTATACTTGTATTTTAGCAAGAAACTTTTTCTTGGAGGAATCTATTCTGTATAGTGACAGTAGTGGCAAAGATATGTAAGAAACTTAGTGGAAGGCACTTCCCTCATTAACACTGCTTGATACAAATACCTCTCAACTAGGTTGAGAATAGTTCACACTCAGTCAAGATAAACAAGAAAATCCAAGATACAAGTGACCTTCAACAGCAGAAGATACAAAACTCTATTAGTCCAAACCACAGAAGTGCACATTGTTATAGGATTGTCCAGTGTGGACAGGGCAGGGCCATGATCTTAATTGATAAAAGAGGCTCATGCCACTGAATGAGGAAGCCATCTGCCTTTTAGCAGCTGTTGTATGCAGTTCACTTCTGATGTCTGGAAATGCTCTTTGAATCGATAGCTATCCTCAAATGGGTTCTAAATCATTTATTTAATAACATAAATCATCGCATCTCTATTACTTACACTTTAAAAGATTGCCTTAAGTCCATGTTAAAAGTAGCATTTAAAATTTAGCTACTATTTTTTTTTTTTACCATGCAATAGTAACATATATGAAAACTGGGTTGTTATAAAGTTTGCAGACTATATAGGGCTGTGTAAGTGCAGTATAAGCATACACACGCATGCACGCGCACGCACACAAGACAGAAAGGGGGGAGGGCAAGGGAGAGGGAAGGAGAGGAAAACAAAAGCAACAGCTGCTTTTTCTAGGGTTTATATGCTCCCTGGTCTCCGTTACCACTGCCATACCTTACTCTTGCCTACGCAGTGCGCAGGGTGCTCCTTCTGGCGAGAGTGACAAGTTATCAGAGAAAAATCAGGAAGTCACTTTGTAGTCCATTGATTTAATTCCCTCAGGAGCTCATGTATATTTAATTTTGTTAGACTTTACCTTGAAGCCAATCCATTTCATGAGAGTGTATTAGCCTAGTCAAGTAGATTTGGCTGAACCAGGAAAGGTTGAATGCAGTCGTTCTCACACATGTCACCAGCTAATTTCCTTGGTGAGGGGTAATCTGAGTTCTTCCTTGAACTTGTATTAATAATGACAAGCTTGTGACGATATTCTGTAGTTTTCTTTGTAGATGCTTGGAGGTAGGAGGAAGAAGGGCCCTCTATAGGACTTTATATTCATTACACGACAGTAGCAGGAATCCTACTTTTGGCTTTTATTTCTTTCATCCTTTCCACTGATACTTCTACATTGTTACCTGTGAATATTTGCATTCACATTTACATTAAGTGATGTTGATTTTATTAGAGACAGGCTGATTGGAATAATGGACCATCATGATAGATGGATTAGTCAGAAGTTGTGAATTTCAGTTCTGCTTTTACCATTTGTCTCTGTTACTAGCAGTAAGCTGCCTATTCAATCAGACTGTGCTTGAAATCTTCCCAGAAAGCATGTAGTTAGACTTAATAAAATGGTAAAATATTTTGAAATTCATTAATACAAAGTGCTTCTGGCAGACTTTGGTGTTAATGATTGGAAAGCAACTGTATCTCATACATAAAATAGTGAAAGCTGCAAATAAGTGATCAATGAGGGGACCATAGCGTCACTGGAGAAGTGTCAAAATAATTCATTCGAGTCTTCCATTTCATACAGTTAAAAAATAATAAGGAATTTAATGACTTTGTCTTTCTGGTCATATTCAGTGATATGAGTGCCGTGGAATAAAAGGATTTGTGTCCTATGGTTGGTTGTATTTCAAGTATTTGAACCTCTGGTTCTGATGAATTCAACATTTTACGAGGGCTAGCATGATATTTTCAGTAAACACCCATAGATATTTTTTTCCTATGAGAAATAAGTATTTAGTTCATACGGTAAACATTATTAGAGATTATTTGGGAATGTGTCTCATGCACAAATTTTTTTATGCGGAAAAGAAATGACATAACTGTTTATTGAGTATAATTTATATACTATATATATATGTATATAGTATATACATATATATACTATGTAATTTGCCCATTAAAAAAGTATACAATTCAGTATATTTTAGTATATTTGTAAGGTTGTTCAACCATCATCACTACCTAATTCCAGGACATTTTCATTATGCCACAAAGATACCCCATAACCGTTAAGAATCATTCTGCCCCCCCCCCCCCCGCTCTCCTGCCAACCCCTGGCAACTGCTAATCTACCTTCTGTTCCTATGTATTTGCTTATTCTGGGCATTTCATATAAATGCAATACACAATATCCACATGCATAAATTTAAAAACGGTCACGAGAAATATTTCAGGAAATGTGCTTCTGAAAAGTTTTGCAAAAAATATTTTATAAAGGATAAATAATATTTACAATAAATTTAATAATCATTAGCTGACTTGTTTAGATAGTTCAGATTTTCATATGTGCTGAAAGTGGGAGAAGCTAATAGTTATACAGATCCATGATGTTCTGTGTGTGTGTGTATGTGTGTGTGTGTGTTTCACTGTTACATATGAGGGGAAGGAAACAGTATCATTTTCCTATGTAAATTTCCCCAGTAGCATCAGTGTTATAATTTACAAGAACTTAATTTCAGTGGAATGTAATTTCTATGTGTTTTACTTTTTAAAGCACAAACATAAGCCTTCCTCTTTATTATTATTATTTTTATTGGAGTAAAATTGATTTACAATGTTGTGTTAGTTTCTGCTATACAATGAAGTGAATCAGCTATATGTATACCTATATCCCCTCTCTTGGACCTCCCTCCCACCCCCCATCCCACCCATCTAGGTCATCACAGAGCACCGAACTGAGCTCCCTGTGCTATACAGCAAGTTCCCACTAGCTATCTGTTTTACACACGGTAGTGTATTTATGTCAAACCTAATCTCCCAATTCATCCCACCCTCCCCTTCCCCTTCTTTGTCCACATGTCTGTTCTCTACATCTGCGTCTCTATTCCTGCCCTATAAGTAGGTTCATCTGTACCATTTTTCTAGATTCCACATATATACGTTAATATACGATATTTGTTTTTCTCTTTCTGGCTTGCTTCACTCTGTATGACGTACTCTAGGTCCATCCACATCTCTACAAATGACCCAGTTTTGTTCCTTTTTATGGCTGAGTAATATTCCATTGTAATATTCCATCTTCTTTATCCATTCATCTATCGTTGGACATTTAGGTTGCTTCCATGTCCTGGCTATATAGTGTTGCAATGAACACTGTGGTACATGACTCTTTGAATTATGGTTTTCTCAGGGTATATGCCCAGTAGTGGGGTTGCTGGGTCATATGGTAGTTCTATTTTTAGTTTTTTTAAGGACCCTTCATACTGTTCTCCATAGTGGCTGTATCAATTTACATTCCCACCAACAGTGCAGGAGGGTTCCCTTTTCTCCACACCCTCTCTCCAGCATAAAAAATGGGCAGAAGACCTAAATAGACATTTCACCACAGCCTTCCTCTTACACACTGCACTCATTTGATTTTGAAACTCTTTGGCCCGATAGCCTTTTTTAATGGCATAAAATTAATAAAGTATATTCTTTAGTGAGAACTATTTAAAGAGATTAATCATTTATTGTTTCTAAAGCCCTCGGAAGGGAAAACATGTAACCTAACTGCTGAACTGTTACTCTGCCAAGGCTGAAAGGAACGAAGTACTTGCACGCGGCCAGTCCTTTCTGGTGTTCTTTATTTACTGCTTTCAGCCTTGCTGCGTCAGAGCTGTTTGTGCAGCTCTGAGCAGCCCTATTTTGCAGCCTGCTTTATATTTTCCCTCTGTAACTTCAGCTCTAGCCCTTTATCCAAACATAAATACTGTTGAATAGTAAGAAGGTTGTTGTTCTGGGAAAGAAGTCAGAGAGAACCAAGCCTGTCACTTTTCTTTATTTGACTGGACATAGCAGAGTGTTGGGAGGAGGGGCTAAACCTTTTATGCTTCTACCATTGAGCCACTGTGGTGGAGTTAAACAGAGGGTGAAATCCAAAGGCAGGAATGCACCAGTGCCAAATCATTAAGGTAATAATAGTCCCAACTATAGTGAAGTCATATCACTTCCTCAGATTAGAAGGCACGTACTTGGCTCCTCAGGTGAACCTCACAGTAACTGTATAAGGTAGGCATTGTCTCCATCTTCCTCATTAGAGGGATTATGTGACTTGCCCAAGAACACACATTTAGTTAGATGTGCCAGAGAAATTCTCTCTGAAAGTGCTGTGCTTTGCCAGCCTACTTCCCTCTTCAAAACCACCTGCTGTAATTAATCTCAGTGATCTCCTTTCATCGATTTGTAACTAAGCTTACCATACAAAGCCATTTGGGGTTCTGGCTCAGTCTAGGTGAAATTACAAAGTAAGCAGAGTACCACTCTGTTTACTTTTCAGCCACCTCTGCCATACCCTTTATTCCAGTCACAGGCTCTCAACTAGCCAACAGCAAGATGGACTGACTCAAATTCAAGGCAACTCTAGAAAATGTAAAGTATAAATATTTTGGGTGACATTAAATCTGAAATAGGATGAAGTCAAACTAATTAAGTACATAAAATCTCAACTCAGTTTAAAAAATTGTCAGAAAATAATCAACTAAAGTTCTAGGAAATAGAAAGTTACTAAAATCACTGAACTTAGAAAACATTTTTAAAGTATTCAGTGAATTCATTTATTTTCTTTCAGTGGACTGTAGATTCAAGTTTGAACACAGACCTCTGCTTCACAGAAAAAGTGATTAATGAAAATAGGGAATCTGAAGCAAATCTGAACTAATGCTGTAATGACTTTTGCAGAAAAGGCTATGTTTTAATAAACAACAACAAGGAAGGCGGCTTTCCTCTCCATTTCTAGAAAGGCATCAAATACAGGAAATGTGAA